ATTATTTTGGCTTTTTATTATGTTTACATTTGTTGAACGGTCAACATAGTAACAACATAGTAATATTACTCTATTACACAATAATAATGAGTTTTGTTGTGTTAATATTACTGTGCTAGAGATTAATATAGCAATATTATTGTGTTAAACTGTAATAGTTAATTTTACTGTGATGTTTAACAGTAATATAGTTAATCACAGCAAAATTGTTGTTTAAACGAGAAAAAAAATGTTACAGAACGAAAAAAAAAAAAAAAGAAATCGAAAAAGTCAACGCCGGAAACCGGTGGTTGAAAAATCAGGAGAGAAGAGAAAAAAAGAAAAAAAAAAGGTCAACGCCGGAAACCGGCGAATAAATCCAGAAGGAAAAAAAAAGAGTCAACGCCGGAGACCGGCGGTCAACGGCGGTGACGGACGAATTTGTCCATAAAAATATATTTTGGGTCAAAATTGAATAATTTGTGAAATTTGGGGTCAAATTGAAGTTAAATTAAATTAAGGATGAAATTGGAGCATATTAAAGTATGAGGGGCTATTTTAGTCTTTTAAAAAAATCTGGACCATGTGTGGACTTATTTGTAAATGAGTTTATTGTCTGGATCTCTTTATGAATAAGTACCCATTGATGGGCTTATTTGTCAATACTCCTATAAAGTAACCCGTAATAATATTGCCTTCTTGATTGTTTACAACAGTCAGAATGAAAATAAATGTTTATAGGTCTTTTTTTATTAATTATTTTAGATGTTGGCCAATATTCTTGGGTTTTCAATTTTAGATATATTACAAAAAATAACTATTTACTGCAATATGTCGTTATTCAAACTTCAAATTAACTATCAAGGTTTATAAAAATTAGTGAAACATATGTTAAGTTGGTCAAATAGGAAACCAATTTATTTAATAGAGTAGATATGTCAAAAATAGAAAAAATCATTGAAAGTTTCTTAAGCAGGTCAATGACAGATAAAATTGACAAAAAAAATGTTGAATGGGTTAATCGAAATGAATTACACAGATTAAAAATGAAATTCAACCAGAAGGACCATCAAAAGTACGACGAGTCACGAATGGCATGCTGCGATAATACTACATGATCTTGTTGCGGAGGAGCTCCAACGTTTGTTGCCGGAATCTCTGTTGTCCGATCCAGCATCAAGTAATAGTCCGAAACTAGAGTCCAATCTTTGGGCACTACAGTCCAAGATTTTGGAATAGAGCAGATTCTCGGTGGATATGCAGTCCAATGTGAGGGTAAATGGAGTCAATTAGAAGGAAAACATGTGTCTTGCGGGCTGGGGTTCTTGTATTGTTTGATCGTATGAATTGGAATACTAACAATGTCCCTGGTACGAGCCAGGCTTGGAGCATGCGCCGGGTCAACGCCTTTCCATCCGGGAGGAATTCCTCTCCATCCTTCCGGAACACCCTTTGATACCCTATGGTCGATCGGTTGTTCCTCTTTTGTGATCATAGTAATGATGGTGGAACGGCTGTGTATCCCGCAACAGATAGAAGATGGTCGACATTGCATTTACTTTTACCCCGTGAATTCATTTTGGCTAGCGCAGGTGCAAGATCTTCTTCCACTTGTTTTCCGGACGAAGTAGACAGAGACATTTTGATCTGTATTCGAAAAGAGAAAAAAAATTAAAATGTTATTATATAATATGTTGTTGATTAAGATGTTGAGGGAGGGCATTTCAGTTAATCGACTAAATGCTTGATGCTAATGATAGAACAACATATATCAGATATATAAAATGAGAGTTAAAACATGCATACTAACAAGTGCATCAAACGAGGTAGCAAACAAGTATCTTCTTTCGTACATAAAACACTAATTTCGATCCTCAATTGAAGAAAATTCAGTGCAACATTGATCTTTCGATTTCAGGAAACGGAAATGATATAAGAGCAGGAAGAGCACTCCCCCTTCCTTCGAAACCTTGTTTGGAAAGCAAACCTAATTGCAAAACTGATTTATTTATACTGGTGGATAGACACGACCATGGGCCGGTTTTGGGCCCGGAATCAGCCTGAACCGTTGACCGGTGAACCAGCTCAGAACCCGTGAATCGGCCCGTCGTCCCCGGGACGGGCCCGGTTCTATGAATTGGTGAACCGTGAACCGCCGGCTCGGCCCAGCGGTTCACCCGGATTTTAAAAAAAAAAAAAATTCAGAAAAAAAGCAAATAACGGCCGGTGAACCGGCCCAGTGAACCGGCTGTTATTTGCTATTTTTTTAATTCCCCCCCCCCCCCCCCCCCCAATTTTTTCTTATAAATACCCTCACACCCCATTTTTTCCTATAAAATTAAGTTAAAATCCTTTTATTTATTTCCTTTTGTTTTTTTTCCTATTTAAAAGTAATTATTTTAATTTATTTATCCATTAAGTGTTTTATTTTTTTAATATATATATAAATATAATTTTTCGGGCCGACCCGGAACCGGCCCAGATAGGCCT